CTCACTTAAGGTTGCCAATTCCATTCTTTTTCTCGAAAGCCATATGTCTAACAGGTCCTAAAGAATATATAGTAGAATCCACACAATAAGAAAAGACTTTGTGCAAATAATGGCAGTCTGAACATGGAAGAGGAGAGTAAACTATACAAAATCTTATTTTAATTGCTTCACTTCCCGGTTTGTAGTTTTATGACAGAGAAATGGTTTCTACTGGGGTTGACACTAGAACCAGAAAACAGATTTAAGTTGTTTGGCAAAAGCACCCAAGCTGATGTGAGGAAGAATATTGGGATCTGGAACGCAATCCCTGGAGAAGTTGTGGTGGCAGAACTAATTGGGACTTTCAAAAGGGAACAAAATAATCACCAGAAGGAAAAACATTTGCAGGGTTGTAAGGAATGGGTAGGGCTGTGCAAAGAGCTCAATTGCACTTGGATAGCCAGCATGAGCCCAATGGGCCAAATGGCCTATTTCTGCAATTCTGCTTACATTCTATAAGCCTGGGCTGCACCTGATGGCTTTGTGCTAAATTCAGTTTGTCTGGAATTTTTTTTGGAGGAATTTCCACTGCACAGTCGAACAAGATCTCTCACTGTAACTTAGTAAACTCACCTTGCTAATTATTTACCCTGGTCCTCTGGCAAGGCAAATGTTTCGGCCACATCTGGAGTATTGTGTCCAGTTCTGGTCGCCTCATTACAGGAAAGATGTGGAAGCATTGGAAAAGGTGCAGAGGAGATTTACCAGGAGGTTGCCTGGAATGGAGGGAAGGTCTTACAAGGAAAGGTTGAGAGAGCTAGGGGCTTTTCTCTTTAGAACGACGAAGGATGAGAGGTGACTTGATAGAGGTGTACAAAATGATCAGAGGTATAAATAGAGTGGACAGCCAGAGACTTTTTCCTAGGATGGAGGTAGCTATTACGAGGGGCCATAGTTTTAAAGTGAGTGAGGTAGATATAGGGGAGACGTCAGAGGTACGTTCTTTACTCAGAGAGTGGTCGGGACGCAGAATTCATTGCCAGAGAGGGTAGTGGAGTCGGCCTCATTAGGGGCATTTAAACATCTATTAGAGAAGCATATGGATGATAGTATAAGGTAGGGGTGGAGGTTAGATAGACCTTAGGTTTGGGGTAAAAGTTTGGCACAACATTGTGGGCCGAAGGGCCTGTACTGTTCTATGTTCTATGTTTGACTATCAAGATCGAATAGCTTTCAATGTCCTAATAAAAGTGTGATACTTTAACTGACAAAACTTTCTGAATTTCCAGTGGAAATTCAATTTAAGATGCATTCTAAACAGACCACTATATCCTGAAGAGCCCACAAACTTTATGAACACATTTCAGTTCTGCTATGACATCCACACAATCACTTGCACTGTTTGGCACAGAGAAATTGTTCCGTTCTAAGCCAGCACCATTTCAGTCCTGTACAGGTGGATGAGCTGATAAGGGAAAGAAACACTAAGCATACAGTTCATGTATTAGTAGTGCGATGGTCATGTCCCTATCTCTAGACTAGTCCAGGTGCACGTCCCACCTACTCCAGAACTGTGTCTGAACAGAAATATCTACAGCTAATGGCTGAGTAAATCTAAAAAGGAGAGTCAGATTTTCAATTAGTGAAGGCTTATAGAGAAAGTGGAGTTGAAGCTGAGATGACTTCAGCCATGATTGTGTTGAATAGTGAAGCAGGCTCCAGGGCCTGAATGGCCTATTCCCGCTCCTAATTATGTTTTTAGTGAACTGTATCAACTTCCTAATCCATCAAACCTGAAGTGTTATTTATAGAAAGAACTGGATAATTGGTTCTCCAAGCTAACCCCAAACATTAAAGCTCCAATTCACCTACATATCCTGAAATGAGCAATACATTATTTACTGTCAAAATTTTAATGAATTTGGGGAAAATAAATCTTCTATAAAAGGTCCACACATTGAACAGGCTTACACATTGATCGGAATCAAAACGATACATTGATTTAGTTCATTAGGAAAGTAATATCACACAAGATTCAAGACAACTTTGAAACTTTACCACAGCAGTCTGCAGATATTACTTACCGACCAGAGAAGCCTTCTGTTGCCACAAAAGTAAATGATACACTCTTCAATGCCACCTCCTTTGAATAAAACTAAAACAGTGGGTGCATCAGTATCAAGAACCATCCATTATCACCATGGTAATGGTAGACCGACAAAAACATTGTTAATAATGTTTCAGCATGTAGTCCATTTGATAAAACTCAATCGCTTCTGCTTTGATTAAGTTATAAGTTTTGTTTGCTTGTACAGAACATTGTTGGGAAAAAAAGAGAGACACATTTTGTGAAAGCTTTCTGCCTCACACTCATCAGGACAATTTACATTAAATACCAAAGTGAAAAGAAAACAACATTTAGACTGTACTGGCGGAGAATGCCGATTCATTGGCATTGGTGGAGATGTTGCCATGGAAATTACATCAGTTGATGATGACTGGCTGTTAACTATCAAGCTTTGCATGAATTTTTAAACCAGGCAGTTGACTGTAATTGATCGAAGCATTGCCCTGAAAAAAAAAAATCAAGCAAATGGATGTCACCTATTTTGTTGAAACTGGAACCGTGCATGAACATGCTTGTTATCTGCAAATAAGTCCCTGTGTGTTTATATATATCGCTTCAAGAACACACGTGTCTTACTGCAAGTCTATTTGATATGCAAAATTTGGATTTCAGCCCAATTTAGTGGATATGAATTTCAGTGCCGGTACAACACTATGCTGTGTGTAACAAAAAACTGATGGATCATATCAGGAAGCATATCTTTGCAGTTATTTGCAAAAAGGTACTGAACCTACCCAATCAACTTGCACTTGCAAAACTCTCAGTATGTCCAATGATATGATTCCACAACAGGACAACAATTGCCAAATAGTCTAGAATGTGTGAAGAATTATACTCTCAATTTAGGACCATCAGTCAAACCTGCAATATGGTACAACTGTAGGTGCTGGAAGCTACACGTATTCATAGGCAAGGTTTTTCTTTTCAGACAGAAAATATACGTACATATTGAACCTACTTTAACACTGAGTAGAGCTATCATCTTGGCTCACGTTTCAGGTAAAATCTTGATCAAAGTTAACTGACTCATTAAAAATTTAAAAGAAAGCTCGAGTTAACTGTCAGTCGTCATTAACTGATGCATTCTCCATGATGCATCTCTCCCCACACCACTTCCCCCCCCCCCCTCAAACCCTACCACCACCCACCACCACCCTCCAAAGTCCACTTGCCAATCAATTAGCAGTCTCCTTTCATGGTTTCAGTGCTGTTGGAAAAGCTTTGGAAACCAGTTGAGTTACCTACTGCAGTATTCCCAGCCTCTGACCTGCTCTTGTAGCCACAATATTTACATAGCTAGTCCCGTTCATGTTTCTGGGCAACGATAACAACCCACACCCATCCCACTCCCAACCAGACGCTGACAGTGAGGAATTCAGTGATAGTTATGCCATTGAATAGTTAGATTCTCCCTTGTTGGAAATGGTCATAGCCTGGCATTTTTGCGGTGCAGATGTTACTGGCCACTTACAGCCCAAGCCTGTATGTTGTTCAGATCTTGTTGTATTTGAACATGGGTTACTTTAGTATCTGAGGAGTCGTGAATAATGCTGAACATTATTCACCAATGATTGCACATCCCTACTTCTCACCTTATGATGGAAGGAAGGTCATTGATGAAGTGACTGAATGTAGATGGACCATGTATAGTGAGACATTTGAGGGGACTCTTGCAGAGCAGAGGTATTTTTCTGATCTTTGAGCCAGGAGACCTGTCCTCTACTCCAGAATTGTGTCATGACATCTCTGGACAGGTCGATTCGGAAAATATCTACGACAGAATGAAACATGAGAACTGGCTTTGCATGTGATTCATGAATGACCGAAACAATTAGTTAATTGTTAAAGTCAACATGGTTTTATGAAAAGGAAGTGCTGTTAAAATTGACAATATTACAAAGGGATTACAGCCAAGGATAAGTTAATAAGTGTATGCATTCTTAAAAAAAATTAATTATATCCAAGCAAAAAACCAAAATAGCATGGATAAAAGATGATTTGAATTAAAAAAAAAAATTCATCCTTTAAATTCATTGGACATAGGTGTCATTGGCTAGGCCAGCATTTATTACTTGTCCCTCATTGTCCTGGAGGAGGTGGTAGCAAGATGCCTTCTTGAACTTCTGCAGTTCATATGCCCACAATGCATGTCAAAAGTCAATTGGCAAATTCAGGAGTTGAGGTTGGGGGTGCGGGGGGAGCAGGGAAGAGAGTGTGAGAGCCTGAGAGAGCCAGAGAGTTCAGTTGTAAAAGCACTTCCAAACACAAGAAAAAAAAACACACAAAAATGAAACATTTGAGAGAAGAACTCGTGACCTGGGTTCAAAGTTGTACCTGCTCCAGAATTTTGTCACTGCACTTCTGAAGGATTGGAAAAATATTGGAAATATTTGAGTTCTTTAGGTGTACGGTAGTGTCCCTAGTTCTAAACCAGGAGGTCCGGAGTCGAAGACTCACCTTATCTGGAGGTGGGTCATACCATCCCTGAACAGGTTGATAAGAAAATACTTGAAACATTTGAGAAAGGAGCGTTGATGATAGGAGGCAAATTTCCTTTGGCTGAAGTCAAGAACTAGGAGGTATCATTTCTGGATAAGAAAAATGGCCATTTCAGGCAGATGAGGAAACGTTGTTCAATGACAAAGTGCTAATCTTTGGAATTTTCAATATCCCATTTGGCTATGAAATTCCCATTTTTGCAAATATGAAGGCCAAGATCGATAGGTCTTTGGACTCCACAGAAATCAAAGTAGAAAATCGAGAATCAGTCATAACTTTTACTGGCAATGGCAGAGGACAAAAGACCCACATGCCCTTGGCTTGATTTAAAAAGAAACAAGTTAAGAAATTCTGTACAAAAAGTGTAGAGGAGAAAGAAAAAACAAGTCACAAGTTTTATTTTAAGTTAAGTTTTTATTATTGGTCCAGCAAATGCAAAATATACATAATCAGAAAGATGTACCCTGTATACTTCTGCTGGTATGACCTAGCTATTTTCCCCTCAGGAAAGAAGGTAATGTATACCTACATACATGCACACACAGAAGATGCAACATGCCACACTGAGATGGACAAGGTCTTTTCCAAACTCTGAACTAGCATCTTAAATAAATTTGTGTCAGAACAGAATCAGTACTATAAAAATACAAAAAAACCTAACATTCATTCAACAATAAACTACAAAATAAAAACCAAACAGCTTGCTCAGTTTGTCCCCAAGCCTATCCACACAGGGTTTACCGATCCACTTTAAGGTCAGAAAATAATGATGCCATTCAATTGGAATGAGAACATTATGACAGAAATGCTTTGGTGAATGCTTTGGAATCCAATACTCACTAAAGCTGCAGTCAGCAGAAGAAACCCTTATTCTAACTGGTTTAAAAAACACCCACTAAAACCAATCCCTCTGAACCAAAAACAAAATCAGATAAATAAAACTTGTGCAACAACGCATTTCTCTCAAAATAGGGGGTAGAATGTCGATATCATGCTGGTAGACTACATGTCAAGTACAGCTTCAAGCTTCCTCACCAATACAGCTAAACGCAAGATTTATGCTGTGCAAGACAAACGCACGAGGCACTGCGGTTTTATCATCCCACGCGTCAGCTAATGTAACAGAGTTAACCGAAAGACTTGGAGCACAGCAAACAAAACTAGATCCTTTGGTAATATCAGAATCCTTGGCTGCTCCAAAACCAGTAGCACAGCTAATCAATAAACAGCAGACATCAGATGGAACAGTTAAATATTCTGGTAGCTCAATGCATTTGGTAACAAATTTCATTTGAAGTCATTAAATCTTGTTCTGAATGGTTACATTACAAAGCCTGACCACGAAGGTGACATTGTTCCATTAGCAGAGACTACAAAGGCCAGCACTAAATTGTGGCCCAAGAGTGTAATTAAGAAATAAAAAGGTAGGTTCTCACATCCAAAACTGGATTCCAGAGACATCACCACCAATTCATACAAGTGACCGAGTCCATACCGTTTTATGGGATTAAGAAGCAGGACCACAAACATGGAAGTTTCAATGGTGCCCTTCAACATTTTAGGAATGAATACCTTCCCTGTTCAAGTGCTGAGCATGCATCTTCTCCAAATGTAAGCTGAACTGGAAAGCCATCAAGTTATTAACATTTTATGAAAAAGAAAGATGGCTTTTCACAGCGATGTGCAAACAGGTACTCTGAAAACAATTACTTGTAGTTTGACAGGTCTGGTCTGTCGCACTATGTTTGTAACTCCAGGATGTAATTACAAGCCTGGGAACCATCATAAATCAAAAGAAACAACATCTGGTATTTCAAATCATTTCTGTGAAATGCTGACAAAAAGAGAAAAACAAATAATTAAAAACAAATTTGGTCAAATGGCAACCCCAGCCTTATTCTGCCCCAGATACAATATTTGGCCACTTATTTTAGGTACCAGTGTGCCAACTTTGTGAACATGAATTCCAGCATTATGAATTTCGACTGGTCACAAATCATCTGTGTTATCATAGTGTCAATTTCAGGACCAGAAACATTCATACATTTAAAAGATTGCATGGATTCATGCACACCAAAGCATAGGGAATCCAGATTCAACCCTCATTAGGCAACTATTTACATCGCACACACGCACACACGCGCACACGCACTTCAATATATCCCTCCAACGAGATTTACTAGGTATTTACAAACAGAAGAACAAGTTTTGTTCACTAAAAGCACTTGCACATTATTACAGTAGCAAGACATTCAAATTACAGTCAACAGTGAGAATAGTCAATGTCCTTTCTGGTGAAGTCTGCAATCCGTAAATCTTTCATCTCTCCAGTGAATCACTTGAAGAAACCGACAACCAGAGATTCACGCAAAGGAATCCAGTACCTTTTAATAATGGAAGTTTTGGGCCAGTGAAGGGGTGGATCAAAGCATATGCAGCTTCATAATTTTTAAAAAATTGAAAGGAAGGTTTTCATTCTTGGTACGAGGGAGATGGTCACACAGCCTCCGAAGATCTTGGCATCTCATTCACTATCTGTTGAGTAAAGAGAAATTTGAGAATACTTGCAAATAAAAATTATAACCAAGCTAACAAAAAGGTAAATCCATGAAGCTGCATGCAAGCAAGCAACTAAAAGGTAGCCAATCACTGAAGCTTATTTGTTGCATGTTATGCTACAAAAAGTAGAGAGAGCGTGCCTCATCAAACAAAATGCTGACTCACTCCCCAATATCTGAGTTTCCTGCAATAAACATTATGTGCAATCATCGTAAGAATGCTTTACTTACAAGGTCCACAGACCACATATCTACAATGCCATTTGAAGAGAATGTGCAAATAATGGCATAAATGGCCAGCCCCCCCCATTATTTACATTTGCCACAACACTCCACTCCTTTCTTGGGAAGATTAAAGGAGGGAGGATTAAAAATTAATTCAGGAGGATTTCTTGCTAAACCCACCACAACCAGAGACAAGCCAACACAACATCTTCTTACATATCCAGGAACACAAAAGAGTCATGCAAAAAAGACAAGGCAAATTGAGAAATTTATTTTAAGCTGTGTCCTATAAATTGAAAGTTTAATCTATGACCCAGGAGATTATGAGACTAAAACTCAAAATAATAGAGTACAGCCAATTTCGACACTAGGATTGACAGGCTTTGTATAATCTTCCACTCCTGGAGATATTTAAAAATCTGCCTTTGAGTAAGGTACAAGACAAAAATTAGGGAATTTAAGATCCATTTTAGTTCCAAAACTTTATTCAAGTCTGGATACAATATCTTCTGGGGGGACAGTTGAAGGAAAGAGAATAAACGCAATTCAATAACACTCAGCCCCTCCTCCCTCACCTAAGCCACTCAATTACAGATTACAAATTTTGACTTTCGAAAGTGGTCAAATGTTTAGACAACATTCACCAAGATGAGAAACTTGGATCAAATTTACAACAGGTTCCATTGCAAAAAGAGCCAAGAATGGCTTACTCATTAAGAGGGCGCATAAATGCCAACTCATTTATTTAACCTGTTTACCCATCATCCCTGTGTTTGTTGACCTACACTGCACTTAGACAATGGTTTTGGTTTCAAGGTAGTCTCCATTTTCAAATCCCTGCAAGGCCTCACCCCTCCAGCTCTGGCCTCTTGCCCATCCTCAATGCCAGCATTGGTAACCACACTTTCAAATGCCTAGAACCCAAACTCTGGAGTTCCCTCTTTAAGAGGAGGGAAGAGGTGGAGACGTTTAAGATTTTGAGGCATACCTTTCACCGACCTTTTGGTCATGGGTCCCAATATCTCCTAGTGTGGCTCAGGGAGAATTTTGTATTCTAACATGCCTGTGAATCACTCAGTAATATCTTGCTACATAAATACAAAAGATAGTGATGGAATGCCCTTGTGTCACTATTTTCACCCCATAGCACAAAGTTGTATTCAAGAGTAAATACATCTCGATGACTCTGCACATCTGTATTTTGAGAAAAAAGTGTTACTCTAATCTAATGAGGGATACAGTCTTTATCTGGACAAGGTCTTCTTTAGCAAGTCACTGTAGTTTTCCAGGAAAGTTCTATTTTAATTACATTTCTTTGCACTCTAAATAAACCCTTTCCTCACTCCATCTCAGGCCCACCCAAACCACCCACAAATGCCAGTCATAAGTACGATCAAGGTGGTCATCCTGTAATTCGCAAAGAGCCAAGTGTCTCTATATCCATTAGATGGAAAAATGAAATATCTTTCACCAGTGAAAGATTTCATTTCTAAATAGCCCTGCAAAATAACTGCTAATGGGATCTCTATAGGGTCAAAGGGCATGGCCAGCATACATTTAGCCAGTTACCTTCGAAGGAATAACAAGAATAAAATGTTGAGATAACGAAAGACTGTATGTCTGAGAAGGAAAACAGAGGTGGAAGGAAGAAAAAGGGAAGGGGGGGGTGGGAGGGGAGAGAGAGACAGAGAAAGATGACTGAATACAGTGAAGCAGATGCAAGCATCAGCCAATGAGAAAGGAACACATTTGTAGCATCGCAGATAAGGTCAAAACAAATGTTTGTACAAAACAAACTGTGCACATCAATTCATAAAATTGTGGTGCAGTGGTAGTATCTGAGCCTGGAGTGAGAGGCCTGAGCTCAAGTCCCACCTGTTCCTGAGGTGTGTAATAACATCTCTGAACAGGTCGAGCAGAAAAATAATTCAAGGTTTGTTTTACAATTGTGACAATTCAAAACAAAATCAAGCAGGACTAAGAGCTACAAAAAAAGACACCTCCCGTTAGCTCCTTAATGTCACCCAGGTTTAGAGTCAGAGGTTTACAGCAAAGAAAAAGGCCCTGTACTAGTCAAAAAACAACCACCTAACTATTCTAATCCCATTTTCTACCATTTAGCCCATAGTCTTGAAAGCCCTGGCATCGCAATTGCACATCTAAATCCTTCTTAATGAGATGAGGGTTTCTGCCTCTACTACCCTCACAGGCAGCGAGTTCCAGATTCCCACCACCCTCTGGGCAAAAAAGCTTTATTCCACCCCCCCCACTCCATGTCTCCTTTAAACTTCCCTTTCCCTTAAATCTTTACCCTTGGTCATTGACCCCTCCATCAAGGGGAAACATTTCTTCCTGTCCACTCTAATGCTGACTGCGCAATCAAACTATTTCACAAGAAATCCAAAAAAATGAAAAAAATTGGAACAATGTGAACCAGTCACTCACTCACAGCAAAAACTGTCTCAGTCGCCTGTCACTGCTGTCATTGGAAATTGATGTGTCTTGACCATTCATAAGTGCCTTTTCCTTAAACAATGGCCCATTGTTTGGGGGAGGGAAAGAGGAAGAAAAAAGGTGGTCACTAGAAATGTAGGTACCTGTTGTGATGGAAACAGGACAGTGTACTGAAATGTCCAACGGTCCTTTGTCGGTTTCCAAGAGAACCAAGAGGGGACAAATTTTAAAATGAGGCGGGATTGGAGGGAAAAAAAAATTTCAGAGTGAGTAGTTTGGGTGTGGAATGCACTGTCTGGAAATGTGGAGGACAGAGGGTCAACTGAGGCATTAAAGAGGACACTAGATGGTTTGGACAGAAAATGGTGCAGAGGATATTGGGGAAAAGACAGATTAGCACGTAACCAATATTCTCCCCAGCCTGTGCAGACATGGATTGAACAGTTACGGTGCGGAAGAATGCACTTCAGCAATCCTGGTTAAAAATATTTGATTTAATCCAGGCAATAAAATTGGAAAGGAGAGCACTAAAATGTCATTATTGTTATTCAACAACAGGATGAGGAGGAGAAGGGGAAAAAACAAGTTAGCAGAGAGAGCGTGAAGTAAAACTCCTCCTCCACACTCCACCCCACCCACTCTCCTCAAGATCAGAATGAGGTAGTTGTCGGCTAGTTTTACTGTTTTAAAATGATCCGATATGGTACAACCCGGAGCTGACCAGTAAATCAGAGAGGTTGGAGACAGACACGGGAGTTGTCAAATTCTTAATTGAGCTCCACTCAAGTTCTTTTCAATATTTAAAACAACAAGCCAATGCTTCTACCACCTTTTTATAAAAAAGGTTAAAAACAAGGGAATCCCATCCTGAACTTTCAAAACAAAATAACACAAAACGTTGCTAACTTCATGAAAACCTTTTGTGAATTTGCAGTCAGCGCTGGGAAGACTGAGTACTGTCCTGTTTGTTTAGACATTGGCAGATCTGCTCTGACAGCGGAGGGTTTTATTTCAGCAATTTGTTTCCTTTCAAAGTTCAATGGTAGTCATTATGAAGCCACAAATGACAATTTAAAACAGGATAACCTTCAAAAGAAGGCCATTTTTTTTAAAATTAAGGATGCTCAGGGTCGGGGGCAGGGGGAGAGAACTTTAGATCTATTGTTTTTAGCCTTTTCTGGATAGGAGTAGTACTGGCTTGCTGTTCTAAATGTTGAAAGGTTGAGCAGTGAGCTCAAATGAGAATTTGATATAACTCTGGTCTACATCACAATATTTCTCAAGAATCATATGCTCAGAACACTGTTCTTGTCTCCACACCAGCCGAGTTCCACTAAAACAAAAAAAAGTGTTGCTATTTTAAACTCAAGTTCAATAGTAGAAAATAAAAATTGCTTGCATGTTTATTTTCTTTCTAAAAAAAAGAGTCTGTGCACAATTGGTTTCCTAAATTTTTTTTTTTTAAAAACACAATAGTCACCTAGGTCAAACAAACACTTAAAATAGGCCAGGAGGAACTGGTTAAGTTAGAAAGTCTGCCAGTAGGGTTAGTGATGACATGGGGACATCATATGCTTTGTTGGCTTTGAAAAAACATTTCCTAATCCTGTTCATGTAGACAATACCTTTGATACAACGAAAAAAAACAAGAACCGCTGAAAAGCAGATTTTGATACTGCAACCAAAATAGTTGAAGCAAGGATTGCGGAATAGATTATTTCAAAGTAAGCTTCATGCATAAAATTGGCCAAAATAGGTTTTCCAACCCCAATTGTACATATTAGTTCTAGTTCACGAGCAATCCAGATCAATTCTAAGACAAAAGCCAGTTGATTGATCCAAAGCCAGTCTTTTAATTTGTCAGGACTCTCACTAATAAACTGCTACTCGAAAAATAAAGACAGATAAAGAGAAAATACTTACAGGCAAGCCTTTCCTAGTAAAGACTGAAGAGTGAAAGAATTATGAAAGAAAAATGTAAAGAACACAAACCACTTCATAAATTCAGCATAGACTTAGCAAAAGAATTTTAGAGTAAAAATCAAACATCTTTATCTTGATCCAAACTAGTTAAAAGTAGATGGGATACTTAATGAAAGCTTATTTCAAAACAAAAGATGGAAAGTCAGAGAAATGCTAATAGCCCAGACAAAATGACAGCAGCATGAATTCACATGCTGTTATAGAGGACACTGTTTCACTATTAAAAGATGACTTAAAACTCTGCACTGATATAGACATAAACTGCTACAGTCAGAAAATGTTAAATCATGAACACTGAGCAAGTCAAGCAGCATCTATGAAGACAGAAATCAGAGTTAACACTTCAGGTCAACAAACCATCATTGGGACTGGAGTTAAAAGAAATTATGGATGCAACAGATTTTGAGCAAGTACAGAGGCAGGGGTTTGGGGCAAACAGGGGTTTGGGTAAGAGGAGAACAAAAACATTTGAGATGGTGTTAGGCAGGATCATGCACACAGATTGGAGTTTAGAAATAGGGACGGCTTACTGCAGTTGTACAGGATCTTGGTGAGATCACACCTTAAGTACTGTGTGCAGTTTTGGTCTCCCTACCCAGGAAAAGGGATATCCTTGCCATAGAGGCTGACAAAGGGGTTTACCATGGGACTGTCCTATGAGGAGAGACTGGTTCAACTGGACCTATAGTCACTGGACTATGCAAGGATGAAGGGGATTTAATTTTGGACGAGTGCAAGTTTAGTAGTGAAAGTGTAGAAGGGGGAATCTGATTGAAACAAAAAATTCTAACCAGACTGGCCAGACTAGATGCAGAGAGTATGTTTCTCCTGGGTAGGGAGTTTAGAAACAGGAGACAAAGTCAGGATTTGGGGTAGGCCATTTAGACCCTTGAAGAGATTTTTTTATCCTCATCTCTCCGAGGGAAATGAACCTATGGAATTCTCTACCACAGAAGGCTGTGAAGGCCAACTCACTGAATATATTCAAAGGAACAAATAGATATGTTTTTTAGATTTTGAAAGCAAAGGGGTTTGAGGAGAAATGTACTGTTGAGATACAGGTTCAGCCATTATCTGATTGATTCGGAGAGCAGGCGAGAGTGGCCTACTCCTGCTAGTTAAACATAGAAATTAGGTGTAGGTGATTACTCCAAAATCCTGCCCAATAACCTTTCACCACATTTATGTGAAGAAAGATTTATCTGGCAGACACTGCTTGATCTGCTGAGTATTCTCCATGGGTATTTCAGATTTCCTGTCCTGACAGCAGTTTTTCCTCAATTCAAACAACTATGTGCATATTAAAGATTTTGCAGCTTCTAAAAGCCAGAGTGTCAGAACTGGGAATGCAAAATAGATAAACTAAGCTCCAGAAGAAGTGCGAAATTCAGCAAATTTTACCACAAAATACTTTGACAGTGTTACAAATAGTAGCTGAACTATATCAAAACATTACCTTGAGCAAAGGGCTAAAACCCCATTTGTTCAAGTCCCCAAAGTATTGGGTCAAAGATAGATGTGGACAATCTGGTTACACCACACTGTCAGTGGCGAATTGCGGGCATTTTTTTTTTTATTGTGGACCTGGATCTACAAGGTATTGGTGTAAAACCAATCCAAATTAAATATGGGGGAAGAGCTAAATCATTAGAATCAGATACAAACACAGATCTGGCAGCATCTACAGTGCGCTTACAGTGAGTCCAGGGACACTTCCAGTTCTGAAGGTGGGGGGGCTCGCCAAACTCGAAATGCTAACCTTTTTTCCCCTCCATAGATGCTGCTAGATCTGCTGAGTTTCTCCAGCAATTCCTGTTTTGGTGCGTTTCAGATCTTCGGCATCCACAGTTTTGTTTTATTTGAATACAGATCCCTGGAATGTGAAAAGGACTATATCCTTGTGCAACCCTCCAGTACCAATTGTATTGCACAAACTGCAGGGAAAATTGCTACTGCAGGACTCAAAAAGTGGTCTCCTTTCTTTCTTCCTCCATTCAGGGTCATACTGAAACCAGCAATCCATTCCGCCCATCATCTGTACTGGTCAAAAAAGCATTACTCAGTCTAATCCAACTTGCTAGATTTTTGTTTTGGTTTTTAAAAAGTTCATTCATGGAACATAAGCATTGCTGGCTAGGCCAGTATGTGTTAACTATCCCTAGTTGTTCAGACAGTAATGGCCTTCAAGAAATTACTGCTGTTGGATGTCTTTGTAGGTTACAGCACATCAACATAATGTTGTTTTTGAAAAAAAAAGTACGATGGTTTTCTGCCTCTACCGTCCATTTGGACAGGAGGATTCAGAACCTACCTACTCTAGGGTGGAACTATCTATCTATCCAAATGGTACACCAATCCTTCTACTAAAATCACTTGAAAATTACCCACACCACACCTTGGTTATTAACAAGGTTTCCATCAGCAGAGGGGTTATTAAAGAAAAGGGAAACTTTGAATGGGACAGACGCAAGTGGAGTTTTAACGAAAAATATCCAATGGATTTTTAAGCATCCATTTACTTATATGAATTAAGTGAACATCACATTTAGAGTCAAGATAAAAAAAATACATAGTTTTTCCTCTCTATTCTCTCTTGGGATGAGGGCACCACTGGCAAGGCCAGTATTTGTTGCCTTTGAACAGAGGAGCTTTCTGGGCCATTTCAGAGGACCGTTAGCTGGGAGACTGGAGTCACACATAGCCCTGACTGTACAAGGACGGCAGATTTCCTACCCCTCAAGAAAAAAAAAAGGACATTGGTGAGCCAGATGAGTTTTCAAAGAAACTGATGGTTTTATGGTTTTGTTACTGAAAATAGCTTTTAATTCTGGATTTTACTTTGTTTCAAACTTTAAATTTAGAATTTAGTTCACCAAGTGTGAATTTTTAACTCCTAGATGCTCCAGCTGAGCAGACAAAACTTCAATACTATTGCAAGATAAATATGGATTAGATCAACACAGTAATAGAGACCTGTCCATTCAAGATATCATAATTCAACGGAAAGTCCTCATTCTCTTCAAAATTGCATTATTAAATAGTGAATAAAGTAGTGAGGGTAGACTGTTCTTAAAAGGATAACCTTAATAGGTGGCACTTTCCAAAGCAAATGGAGTACATTCTTCATAAGGTTTTTAAAAAACTACAAAACAGCTGTTAGTATACATTCTACAATTAAATAGATGGTTAATTACATTACATTAACGAAAAAAACTCATTTAAAAATTCTACAACTTCATGAATCAGAGTATACAGAGAAATGGTCTCTTTCTTATTCTTAGGAATGTACAGCAAAGCCAGTACACCTCTGTTACATTTAAAAGCAAGCCGACTGACCAGCACAATACAAAAAAAAACAAATAAATAACACAGCTATTTCAGTTCAGCACTTTCATTCACAAAAGCAGCAGGTAGCACAGCTATTTTGACATACAGCCAGATTTTAGATCAGCAATTAGTAAGATTACAGAGCATCATTTTATGCTGAAGGTATACTCAGTCTGCAGGTTATCAGCAAAGCAGCAGCGACAGCCATAATGGTATAGAACATTCAACTAACTTGTCCAGGCAGGGGTGTGGACACTTCAGAGGCCAGGCAGACGGGCATGGCTGAGGAAGAGGAGGCCACATGGTCATCTAGGCCTTCAATCCTCGGCTTTTTGTTGGGTTCTGGGCTTGCCAGAGGGGTAACACTATTGCGACGCATGAGTGGGTTAGATCCCTTCTTACCAATGTCCTGGTCAAAGTGAATGGGGAGAAACAAAAAACGTAAAAAAAAAAAAATTAAAAAAAAAGAAAGAAAGAAAGGCTAAATTACAATTGGAGCATTTCAAAACCAAAAACTTCAAATTTAAAAAAAAAGTCACGACAAGTCTATACATTCTGTCTGACCAGGCAGAGCAGAAGGAGGCAGAAGCTGCACTAAAATGAGATCAAGGTCACTTCACTGCTCATAACTGCAGTATAACAGTGTGAGTGTTGAACAGAGTGAAACTTGCCCACATTCATTCCCACTCATTACAAACAGGCAAAAAAAAACTTTAAAACAAGCACCAAATTAAAATTGTTCAATAATTTGGTGATGGCATTTTAAGTTTTATTAAGAGCTCTCACTCATACAGGAGTCCAATCATGTCGCTAAGTCGACAGATCAGGGACAGCAATTTAAAAAATATTTCTAAAAATCGATTCTTAAACTTCAGTTCCTGGTGACAGAAATCAAAAGAAATGAAAAGGCTGGTTTAAGCAGAGGCAGCCTGGTAAATCTCCTATTCCGAAAGGGAGATGTATAAATTGTCCGGTGTTTAAGAAACACACCTGCTCACAAAAAAAACTCTCCATAAAAAGCAACCTTTGTGGTGACACCATGCAAAAAAAAAGTGGGAAACATCACTCACCACAGCACCAATGTTTCTGGATTAACTGGATTTTAAACAACAGACTAATTCAACTATCAAAAGCTGCTCCAAAAAGGGGCAATATACATTCTAAGCTGAAGTGTGGCATATTTTATAGGCAATGAACAACAAAATACAAAATTCAGTACAAAGGAAATCAAAATACAAGGTTTAATGGACTCTCCCAACAGCCAGACTCCATTCTTTTCCCCTCAAATAGTAGCATTTGAGAGTTAGAATTCTGTCATCTCACAATTGTTGTGGTGCAGCAAGAGAGAATTTGCTCCAAAGTACCTGCACTGGGCCTTCAGACAGAGCATCATTACCTGGTGCCAATCTCCTATCTTTTCCCCACATTCTTGCACACTATTTCTACCTAAATAAACTTCCAAAGCCCCTCCTGAATCTGTCTCCACCATATTTCCAAGCAGTGCATTCCAGACCCCAACTATTCACTAAGAGATTCCCATTCCCCCTCACATCATCCTTAATTAAAATCTACTCCCTCTAGTTCTTGTTCCTTTTACAAGTAGAAACAGCATCTATTTTCTCTAGCTCACCCATGATTTTGAAAACTACCATCAAATCTCCTCACAGCCGCCTTCTCTCTAGGGAGGAGAGTCCCAGCTAAAATTGCCTCATAACTGGTTTCAGAATTGACAGACTTCATTCTTATGAATCACTTCTGTGTTCTCTCCAATGCATTCATCTCTTTCCTGTAAATGTGGACCCCACAACTCTCCACAGTACTCCTGGTGAGATTTAACAAGTGCCTTGTACATCACCTTTCTCTTATACAGCATGCCCCTATTAACAGAACCTGACAGATTGCAAATTCATTTCATCCGTGCCTGTATTCTTTAAGTTCACAGCAGATGATTTAAGTAGGAAGAGTCTCAGAGTCTATCCCTGCTCTAGTGAAAGATATGTGCACAGACCTCCCAGTGGGGTTGAAGTCACCCAGATTAAATTAACAAAACTCCAAAAAGGTTACGTGGCAGCTCGGACATCTCTTGCCTCGGATATAGGGCACAGTACATTCCTTGAACCAATGGGATCAAGTCATGAACAATCAATGCTTGAATGCAAGAGCCTCCCTCCTTCTCCTCAAACCTACCCCCACACCCCCCAGGGTATCAGTACAAGGGCACTTCCAGGGCTGTTGCACCAGGTGTTTAAAAACCCTGTAGTGTGCCAGCACAGAGGAGAATAACCAGGAGAGAGAGACTGAACCTGTTCCACATATGACCAACTCACTTGTGCATCATTAGAGATGGAAGTGTGGTGGTGTATTTCTGCAATTCATCATTTGGAAGTTATGGGTAGGTGTAATGTTGACTCATAAAGGAGCATGTCATTGAATGGATGCCATGCTTTAAGATTCCCTGGAGAGCTGTACTGAAGGCTCCATTACAGTGCAGGTCCTATTGCTAACACAATTAGTTGCTCCTTGTCCCTGCTACAACATCCAAAACAGCCAGACTGTTTGATTCCAAATGAACCATTTATTACTGATTCATTGCCACTGATGGCAGGCCAACAGTTATCGCCCATTCCCAACGGCACTCGAGAAGGCAACTAAATTTAAATAAGTCACCGATTATGCATCTATTCCCAGGACCGAAACATTTCCATTTTGTTCTGTAACAGAGGGAAGGGAACTAAACAGCACTGTCTCGTACAAAAGTTGAAACTACCACAGATAGTTGGTCATAGCAGCTGTAGCTTAGGTCATTGGAGGATTTGGTGCTTTGTACCACCACTAAGACATTGTTCAAAAATCCTGCTGATACTTTTTCTTTTGCACACTTCCCAGCAGCCAGCTCAGGAGTGAAACGAAAAGACAGTGGGCACATTTCTTCAGCAATCCAAAACTGAACTATTCTCAAATATCAACAGTCCATCCTCCTTTCAAAAGGAAACTGAAACAAAAAAAAAAAGACACTAAACTCAGACTGTGGAAGGATGGGGAGCAGGATCAGTCTCAAGCTAAAATAGGACAAGTAGCTTTTTCACATCAACTGTTTAGTCAAATTCAGTAGAACTACACATCTGCTCTCATCCAATCGAAAGGAGGTAATGAAGACTGGATGGTATCCAGATAGCCAGTTAGACTATCCTGCAGCAAAGCAGAGTGTGCACGAGCATCAGCACAACCTAACAAGTTGCAAATTCACATTCAATCCTTCTGGGTTATACAATACAGAGCAAGCTGACTGACAGGAAGGGAACAAACTGATCCTTCCTACGCACCTCGTGGTGTACGGTCAATGAGCAACACCGAAGGTGTCCCTGCCACAAAACACTGACTCAAAATCAATCAACAGCAAAAAGACTGAAAAGGTTAGAGAGAGGTCGGGGGGGGTGGGAGGTGGAATCCACTGCCGTCTTTGGTGACGGAAACCAGTTTCCAAAAATACCCTTTACAGTCTGGAGATGATGAAAGCACAACTTGTTTGTCTAAGGTTACCCTTTACCACAAGGTACGATGACTAGAAATGGTCAGTTTCCCCTTCAAAAAGTCTCTTTTGAACCCTGACAATTGTAAAGCAATGCAAAATAGGTTTGCAAATTAATGCAAGCCAGCTGCAAGGAAACAGCTAATGCACTGCAGCAAGCTCTGTGCTTGGCAAGATTCCCTGTAGTTATAATATCAAAACACCACCCCCCCACCCAACTCCGTTTCTTTCAAGCAGATAGTTATGCTGCTTGATGTAACCCAGGTTTCAGTTTTCACTCATTTCCTACCCCATAACATTCTCTGTTGCAGCAAGTTGTCCGATGTTGCAATGATGCAGGAACTGCTTTAAAATATTGGCGGGCGGGGTGAGGGGTGGGGAGTGGGGTGGAGGTCATTGGTTGGAGGTGAGAACAACCAAAATTCTATTGTACATGTGAGAAACCAAATACTCACCTCTGGTCGATCTCTGTGTGTGTTTACTGCTTCCACATTTAAAAAGATAGACTCAACCTTACAGCCTAATTAAAATGTAAAGAAAGAAAATTAAAGGTCATCCACTTGAATGCAAATCAAACCAAATAACATGCACAAGAAAAATCAAACTCACCATAAGCAAATGGAGTCAATTTTAATACTGTGTGAAGAGGACACTTTAGATATGGCAGCTCGTCTGCAAAAACAAACAACCCATCATCGTTAGTCATCAATATTACACTTCATCCCCTTGTTAGGCTCAACATTTAACACAATAGATGACTGATACACAGCTGAGTCTAACCACACTGCACTACTGCAGATTATATCACACTATGAATCAACTAGACTTGCTGTTTCATCTGAGAGAGAAAGCTGGTCACTAGTCTATCAAATAACAGGATATGACAGTGTGTTCTTCAATGCACATACCTGCACTTTTATCTAGAAAATAAGCAAGGAGACAACGCATCACAGCCTGGTGGCAGATGACCAAGACATTTCCCTGTCTCTCCAGTTCCATGATGACTGGTTCCAAACGCTGCACCAAGTCTTGGTAGGACTAAAACGTAAAAACCAAAGAGAACACACCATTCAATTTACAATTTCAAGGTAACACTTTCCAAGAGGCAGGTGCAACGGGATTACAACAAAAAAAGTGAGGGATTAAGTACTGTTTTGGTTGATCCCCACCAGCATCGGTGCAAAAAAAAAAAAAAAAAAAAGCGATATAGTCTGGTAAACATCCTGGATGTCGCTATGGAAATCCTGGAAGTCGCTATGGAAATTATACCCTACAAAAAAGAAGGATCAGGAAACCAGTTTTTGAAACAGGCTTCATCTGTTCCTGAAACAGTGTCGCCACTTTAAGTGGATTAAGCTTCAAAAGTTTCCATCCCGATGGAATCACACTCAGTCAACACAACACGAACTGTAACCTACCTCACCAGTTGGGTAGCGGTAATAATATTTGTCTTGTTCACGTAATGCATATTCCTCAGGGTGCTGTTCCTTTATTTCTTCATACGTCAGGTCCTCACATACACCCTGCAGTAAATAAAAAAGTCATCTTAAAGCATTTCATGGTTTACTTTTTGACCCCAAAATGTCAAAAAAAAAGTACCACTCAGATGCAAAGAGTAGGACTATAGGTCAATATGCAAGTTTAAAATAAAATTCACTGGATACCGTCAAAAATCTTTTTTTTAAATTCTTCCATTTTATAGAGAAACATTTTGGATGTTGCTAAGGCATCCTAGCTTTCAAAAAATGATTGTTGAGAATGTAGGAAACCTACAACCAGGGCAGAAATGGCTATTACGAGGGGGCATAATTTTTATGGGATTGGAGGAAGGTATAGGGGAGATGTCAGAGGTAGGTTCTTTATACAGAGAGTGGTGGGCATGTGGAATGCACTGCCAGCAGTGGTAGTGGAGTCAGATACTTTAAAGACTTCTAAGTGACTCTTGGATAGGCACATGGAGGATAGTAAAATGTGGGATATGCAGGGTAGATTGATCTTAGAGTAGGATAATAGGTCGGCACAACATCATGGACCAAAGGGCCTGTACCGTGCTGTATTGTCCAAGCTCTATTTCCATCTGAAAGGAATAAGGGCAGCAGATACATGGGAACACCAGACCCTGCAAGATCCCCTCCAAGCCAATCAGCATCCTGATTTGGAAATATAATCACTATTCCTTCACTGTCACTGGGTCAAAATCCTGAAGTTCCCGCCCCAAGGGCATTGTGAGTCAACCTATAGCACATGGGCTATTCCACCTTTACCTCAGCTGTTGACCAGTAGTCAGGGAAGGATACTGTCCCAGGAAGCTCACAGATTTGTACCCACGATAGTGCCGTTCTAAAGTTGAAGTCAACCCCGAAGAGAAATAAAAAAGAAAAAAAAGAGGGCAGCAGCAGGCATTTTCTAACAGCAACTAAATGAAGCGCAAGAATAGATTGTTCAAATTAGCAAACAGGCCATTCATTGAAGTCTCAGCTCATTTTCAGATAGACTGGGGCAATAGCTGGGCTTAAAACAGAAAGTCAGGGCACAAAAACTGGAATAGTTTTTTTTTTAAAAAAACACTTTAAAGGAAACTCACAGCATCTATTTCATTCAGAGCTTTCCATTGCTCATATCGACCACCCAAAACCTCTGCCGTTTGTATGGTTCGCTTTAATTGGCTGGTCCACACCTTCAGATCCTTAAGATTCTGCTCCTCCAGGAAGGTGCTTAGTGCGGAGGAAAACTGAAAGATAAAAATACGCACAAAAAAATGTCAAGGAAGGGAGGAGAATTTCTTTTTCAAGTGCGCTCATTTCATAGTATTTACAATAGGAGGCCATTTGGCCCATCATGTCTGTACCAGCTCCCAAAAGAGCTACCCAGCTTGTCTGACTCTCCAGCCCTATCTCCATAGCCCTTGAAATTCACCACTATCAAATATTACCCAGCTGTCTCAAAACCTCTTATGGAATCCGCCCCCAGGTAGCACATTCCAAATCCCAATAATTTGGAGTTCAGAAGTTTCTCTTCATCTCACTCCTAGCTCTCTTGCTGAGAATCTTGAAATTGTGAACCGGAGTTACTGACACACCAACTGGTGGAAACTGAAAATCATTTACCCTGTCAAAATGATTCTTTATTTTAAATACCTCAGTAATGACACCTCTTAAAATCTTCTAGGCTCCATGCCCAATTTCTCTAATCTTTCCTTGTATCTAAAATCCCTTATTCCAGATATCATTCTAGTAAAATCTCCTTTGCACTCTCTCAAGAGCTTTATGTCCTTCCTTAAATAAGGTACCCAGAACTAAATAAACTCCAAATGTGGCCTGACCATTTATTCGAAGGTAGGAGGCAGAAAGGAAACCACAAGCTGATTCTAAAGACAGCAGTCAGGACTAGCTAATCCTCAAACAGTGTAAAACAGCAAACCTCATTAAATAACTTATTTCAGGATCTTCATGAATACTAACTGCATCAACTTAAAGTTAGCACAAAATAAATTATTCTAAAATCAACCTGACTGAAGACTTCTGGGGCAGACAGGGCTTGAACCTGGGCCAGTTGTAGGTACACTGCCACTAATGCCACAATTGCATAAACAAACAGAAAAGAAAAAAAAAAAGGGAGAAATTATGCATTTGACTTATTACATTTATTTTTGAACTTGGAGAAAAAAAAAATCATTGACATTGCTGGGAGAGATATGGCTCAGTGGATCATATTGGCTATTGCATGTGTTTTATATCTCAAATGAGTTGGTAAGTGAACCAGGAAAAACAGTGATTGGAGTAATTGCTAAAATGACTAAATGCCAAGTTAGTATGTTGTGCTTTTTATATTCGCAACAATGAATAGAACTAGCTTAAATTATAGAGGCTGAAGCTTCCATTGTTAAAATTACACAGAAAATACAGCTGGAATTTAGTAAAAAGGGAGATTTGATCAAAAGTTTAACATTTACGGAGAACATTTAGTGTTGGGAAACTATTTTTACTGAAATAAGACAAAGAACTGTAGATGCTGAAGATCTAAAACAAAAAAAAAGAGAAATTGTTGAAGATATTCAGCAGGTCTGAATCTGGCAACGCCTCATCAGAACTAAGAACTGAAGAAGGGTCACTGGACTCGAAACACTAATTCTGTTTCTCTCTCCACAGATGCTGCCAGACCTGCTGAGTTTCTCCAGGGATAAAATGAAGAAAGACATCTATTTATAAGTGGATAAAGCTGGGAACTCTTACTCAAATTCTGATTGACATTAGATCAAATGCTCAATTTAAAACTGAGATAGATAACATGTTTTGTTAATCTAAATATAGTAAGAGTCACTGGGGCAAAAAGAGGCGGGAATATGGGAGCTAAGTCTCTGATCAGTCAGAAAGAACCAGTTCATTGGGACAAACGTCTGTATTCAGGCAGTCCAAAACAGATTTCTTCCTGAAGCCCATTTCCAAGTTGGAACACATCGCAGTCCAACATAAAGGAACCATTCGTAAGCACATGAAGAATTGTTGGCATGTCAAATCTTTAAAACTACGTCCTGAATGAGATCGCATTTGCAAATGTGAGGCATTCACAAGTCAGAGTTTCAAAGGATCAGGGACACCCCCCCACCGCCCCCGACTTCCTTGTGAATAAAAAAAAATACCCAAATGTTGCCAAATATCGACAGGTACCTTCTTTCCCCTGTACGAGAGACCAGAGTCACCGCCAATCCTGCCTTGGAGATTGTATTCGCTTTCCCCATGGCGACACAAGTAAATTGTCCGAGGCTGGATATGAATATTCATCAGGTAATAAACTATTTTGCTCTGGATGTGGCCTTGGACCCTGTTTACAAGGAACCTCCGGCCGACATTAATCACTTTGATGAACGACAGATCCCTAACAAATACAGGAAAGTGGAGAGGTGGAAATAGTTAGTACAGATGTTCAGCACCATTTTAATTCTCTCTGCAATAACCCATCAACATTACTTTGATTACAACACTACAGAAGCAGCACCATAAATGTCATGTCTATTGTCAGAAGAGACACCCAAGGACATCAATTACAATAAAAACGTCTTTCAGAACTTTTGCATAATAAGCAAAGTTTGCCCCGAACCCATTAGTTAGGAACTGAATGGGCAGCGCAAGAGAAACAGCAAGAGCGACACACAATTTGTAGTCGGAGTCATACAGCACGAAAACAGACCCTTCATTCCAACTAGTCCATGCCGAACAGAATCCCAAACTAAACTAGTCCCACTTGCCTGCTTCTGGCCCATGTCCTTCCAAACCTTTCCTACTCATGTGCTTATCCATGTGTCTTTTAAAATGATGCAATTATGCCCACATCCACCACTTCAGGATATACCTTTGATTCAGCAACATAGGAAATAGAAGCCTGCTCGGCTATTCATTATGCTTACAGCTGACCACCCAACTCGGGATCCTGTTCCCACTTTCTCCACGTACCCTTTAATCCCTTTAGCCCAAGAACTATATCTAATCACTTCTTGAAAATATTCAGCATTTTGGCCTCAACTGCTTTCTGTGCCAGAGAATCCCACAGGCTCAGCACTCTCTGGGTGAAGACATGTCTCCTCATCTCAGTCCTAAATGGTCTATCCCTTATCCTCAGACTGTGACCTTCTGGTTCTGTACTCCCTGGTCATTGGGAACATCATTCTTGCAGTTAACTGATCTGTTAAAGGCACCTTTTCTTTGGGTTTGCATCAGGGCCCAAGTATATTCCTTCACACTGAAGAATAATCTCTGATATGCATCAATCTTTATTCAAGATTGTTACTTTTAGTCATGCTGTGCTGAATGATTAAGAATCATTCCCACTCCAAGTGGGAAATTATGGTATTTGGTAATGCCTTGTAACAGTCAGAAAGTTGCAAGCACAGGCACTGCACTAACATCTCAATACCAATGTAAAAATAGAGATCTTACTTGTCATAATGATCTGGGTCCAAGGGCTGGTACGTTGCTTTATAGCATTCAATTCTCTTCAGGAAGTCTTCCATTGCATCTGTTCTGTTACAATCCATATAATCTGGACTGGATACTTTCACATCCTGTGTATAGTGAAACATTTTCAGTCTTACTGGTAATTTAAAAAAAAAACTAAATCTTCTCAAAAGGACACCCAGAAATTTGCTGATTTGTTATTGGAAGGAATATAAAATTTCTCCCACTTACCATAATATTTGCAGCCACTACACTTGGATCATCACAAACAGATTCCACAAAAAATACCTGTGAAAGAAAGACAGCATTTTTAATTACCTCCTCCATCTTGTATGAAGTTAAGTTTATAAAGTCCTCAGGTCGATAGTTATATTGAACGTCATTTCACCAGAGACATTTCTTCAAAGGAAAATTCTGAAATCCAATGACTAAATTCTCAACCCCATGGAGTTGAGATGGGAAATGAAAGCATATAGATCCACTATTGAAAGACTCAAGGGAATTTTGTGTTCAGAATACTGGCCGACTTTCATATATTGGTAAGGAAAGGAAAATAGATGCTATTGCAGAGAACGGGAGCCCCATTCAGAATCAGATTTCTTTGCACACTACACAATCATAGCCCTCCAATGTGCAGCACACATCCTCAAGTCAAACCCAAGGAAAAAAAGCTGAAATGCACAAAGTCCAAAGTTGTGGGGACACACCATCTCTAAGCATAAATCAGCCTAGACTATGACGCAGCCCACTATGCTAACCTCTTGGTTTAAAGACAAAAAAAAAGTGATTGACATGGTTGTGATTGAGAAGAATCTAGTGATAGGCCAGCTACTTGGAATTGTCTTTAAATTATACTGACCTTCCATTCATTTTCTTTGGCAAAGTTTAGGATCATCTCTCTCCTCTCCCTTGTGGTATTTGTAGCATCAAAAACCTTAATAAAATAAGAAAGGCTTTGGTCACAATTGTCAAAAACTTACATTATGTTCAAGTTGTTGGTCAAAGCAACAGCATTCTTCTCAATTAACTCAACTGTAAATGGAAGACAAATGCTTCCATTACATCAACTGTACGGTTGTATGGACACATTAGAATGGTGTTTATTCTATTTCAGTATTTACCATACTTTATCAGAAAACATTGCACACATATGAAACTGTACTTTAGATACAAAACGTTGAACCATGAACCTAAGAATAATAATTTGTACAACACAGACTAAAACGTTGTTCTGTCAAGACAACCTCAACTATTACACGATTCAAAATAATGGTCATGCTCTGACCCCAAGGGGTACCCATCTCTTTCAATACTAAACCATCACAACGCACTTTGTGCGGTGTTACACATCATATCCCAGAAAGATGGGGAGGAAAATTAGTGCATAGCTCTAGCACTGTCATTCCTCTCTTGGTCATGGACTGTTTTTAAAGAAAATCCAAACTTAGAGACACAAATACTGACTGCAAAACAGATTGAGTGATGGCAAACAGACCCTTGGGCTATGGGAAACCTTGCCAGAGATTATAAACAGTATGTTGCTTAGTCTGACAGTTATGGGAAGGGTACTTACTGCAATTTGACCACCTTCCTCAGTCAGGTAGGATTTTGCGTCTCTTAAAGCCGCTAAGGCACACTGCCTGGAGATTGCAAGAAAAGAAACAGAGGAGTTTAGCATAATAATTGAAGTAGACTCATCATTGTATTGTAATTTAGAGACAATGACATTCAGAATACCCTTGAATTTGCTCCATTAGGAGCTCTAATAATTAACCTGTTGTAAGCAGTCTTTAATGTTTCCTTAGATAACACAGTGTGGAGCTGGAACACAGCAGGTCAGGCAGCGTCAGAGGAGCAGGAAAGTTGACATTTTGGGTTTCTGAAGGGTCCCAACCCGAAACGTCAACTTTCCTGCTCCTGTGACGCTGCCTGGCCTGCGGTCTTCCTCCACCTCCACACTGTTATCTGACTCCTGCATCTGCAGTTCTTACCATCTCCTTAATGTTTCCTTCCCATTTACTACTGACCACAATGCAACACCTTGGTTTGGAATGTATGGTTCAGAATATTTTCCTTAAATCTAATTATTGTTAAGCTGAAGAATTCAGGAAGTGCATTCAGGATATCCACATAGCTCATTACACCACTGCAATTACAAAATTACACAAAAGATATTTTTAATTAATGTTGATCTTTGGAATAAGTAGAAGGGGTGTGGGCATGAAAACAAAGCAGGCCATTCAGCCCCTTGAGCCTGTTCTGCCATTCAAAGACATCATGACTGATGTGTGGCCTACCTCCATATATCTGCCTTTAGCCCATATCCCTTAAATTGTTAAGCAAATGTATATTTATCTCCGATTTAGAATTAACAACTGACCCAGCGTCCACTGCCATTGTGGAAGCGAGTTCCAAACATCTATCACCTTCCGTGTGTGGAGATACTTCCTAACATCTCTCCTGATGCATCTAGCCCCACATGCATCTCCAGTGTGGACAAAAAGTTAAACTAAATGAACACTGCAAATAATTAAGGAGTATTTTAATCAATGTCGTACCGAATCCATGAAAATCAGTAGCAAGAGTCCAAATCACGTGGTTCAAATTTAAAAGCAAAACCACCTGGATAGCCAGCCAAGTCTACAATGTGCTTCCACATCAACCTCACTCATCTTTATGCTTTTCTTGGCTTGGACTTTGTCTTTGCCGTCTGCCATAGGATTATAGCTTTATTTCTCCTTTCCCTAATCCTTCATTATCCAGAATGAATTGTGACTGTATCATTTTAACCCTCAATGGGCAAGTTTCTTTTTACAACTCAAAAAAAGAGAGAGATCAGGCCCATACGGTGCCCATAGTTGGTTCCTTTGTGCTGTGAATCCAGCCAAAGAGATAAAAAGTATTCCTTGAGCAGACAATTATTGGGAAGCAGCCCTTGGTTTTTCAGAGCTTTCCAACATCTAACTTCAATTGGAGTGCACAGAAAGCATAGGCCCTCTGATATATTACAGATAGACAAAATGGTACAGTGCTAAAGAAATTCTATAAACGCTACTATTGCGGGTTACAAGTTAAGGTATGCACTAATTTACTCACTTTCTAATCTTCATTGCATCTTCATTGTCATGCCGGAAGAAATCATAAGAACGGTACCATTTTACAGCCTCTCGACGGTATTCTCCAACATTAAAGACTGTGTAAAGCAAGGACAGAGTATTATTAGTATGGCCCATCTGAAGAGTAAGTTGAAGAGTTTACAACTGCTGCTTTTACCCCGCTACATTTTATTCTCACCTCCTTGCTATTGCCATGTCAACAAAATGTTTTTTTTCTTGCTTCTTTTAAGTTCACGTGGCTTTGGTACACTTCACTAACATTAGTTCAGCTGTTTTTATGCAACACCAACTTTCTCTCAAGTTTAAAAATCTCTCTCACTGTGGATCATGCCCGACATTTAAAGTGGATAGACATTAATGGGTAGAATGAAATCCTTCTGTCCCACAGCGATGCTAGTGGCATCCCACTTTAAATTCTTCAAAACAACACAATCTCTCACAGTTTAAAATAGGAATAGAAAGTCTGAATTAAGTAAAAAAGGTACAAATACAGAATTGGGTTTCAAGTTGAAACACAGACACCTTTATTAGCCAGTCAAACTTTTCTTCCTTCCAATCACCACAACATGATGCCAGGAGATACTTACAACTTAAAAATATGGCCTTTATTTTAAAAAAAAACTTACAACTATTCTCTGCCTCCAGATTGGAAATTGAATAATAGGCAAGAATGCTGAAATCTCACAACAATGTTACATTCCATTCTATTGCCATTGCTTGCTAGTGGTTGATCTTTTCAAGACCCAGTAATTTCTTGCAACGTGACTGCTCACCGACAAGAAGAATCTAAATTAATATCATTACTCCCTTGCATGCACCAACTCAATTGCGTAATTCAAACCTTAAATTACACCCTTATTTCAACAGCACTTTTGTGGGTCATGTACTTGCCTTTAGTCGGGACTCCAATCCAGTTGAGGTAGCGAGTCAGTTTCTTAGCAATATAGGTCTTCCCTCGAGCTGGTAATCCCACCATCACAATCACAGTGGGGGAATTTGTCAGGTGGGGAACAGATGCTATCCAAGAGAGGAAAAAGAAACGGCATACACATCAGGAATGTATGTACAAAAGCAAAATGTAAAGTGCAGGTAGTGACAAATCCCTTTCCCACCATGGATTTGAGTTTTGTTTTCCCCTCGCACACCTTTAAAAATTTGCAGGTGTGTAGCAGACAGAATGGATCCCTGTATTGTGCTTGCAATGAGCTACAAAACAACTGGTAACAAAGATGCCACAGGGAGTGATAGGTCAAAGGGGATGGGTGCTCTTATGGCACATTGGTAGTGTCCCTACCTGTGAGGTTTAAGAGGGACAAGTCAGTCCCTTCTGTTCCGGAGGTGTGCAGTCATATCACTGACTAGGTGGATTATTTAGGTCAAAGGGGAAAAGGAACTCCTAGCATTTCAAACCAGTTACTCCATCATCAGTTCATCAAATGTTGCTGTTAAAAGCAACTGTATAGGAGGTACATAGACATTCTCTGCTGTCCAAGTTTGTTTCAGAAACATCAGCTAATAAAAGGCACAAGTGAAAACTAAAAACATCTTAAAACCACGATTTTCCCAGTAGGGTACTGTCTGTGTAGGTAGGTTTATATAACAAAAACACAGGCAGCCAAACTGATATAGCCACTGGTAATCTGAATAAACAGTGCCAACCACTGATCAGCCTAGCAAAACAATTGTGTGCACAAGTCTAGTAGGTCTGTGAATCAAGATGATCAATGTTGACCAACAGTTCTCAAAACACAGGGTTGGGATTAATCAAAATGTGCATTTTACTCTCAAGCAAACAGATATAATTTATTGGTTTTCTACACAAAAGGATTGGCTGAATAGAGGAAAGAAGATCAAATAAGTAACTTCCTTTAATTAAGGCAGTGGACAACTTAATACAGGCCCAAAAATATTCAGTGAATTAATAGCAAACTCTAATTGTCATGTCACATGCCAAGAGATGTAAAAGCCTTTGATCCTCAGTGTCTCAGTTTTTGTATCAGTTAAATAATTTAAAAAGAAGAGCTTGAGAAATCCCAGGACTGTTTAAAACAAAAAAAAACATTGTAATCTGTAAGCAAAAGAAAAAAAAATAGTGCTTGCCTCTAATCAATATTCTAACATGGAATATATTTGCATAACATGTAGAGGCAAAACATCAACGCAATAACAGCATCTCCAAACAGAAAAGCTACACAGATCGGCTCCACTATTTCCGTTGAATACAGGATACACACTTTCCTCCTTAAAACAAAATTAAGTTGGCTAAAATGGAACGAACCTACTAGCGATGGTGGAAAGGAGAACAAAAATTTGACGGGGTTTCTGGGCATTTAATTCACTTAAAACTACGAAGAAACACTTCGCAATTATCCACAAAACAAGACAAGACCCATTAAACTGCAACTAAATTGCGCTGTAATACATAGGGTGTAATCATATTACTTTGGATTTAAAAAGGATTAAATCATCAAACACATGAACATGCCCTTGTTATCTAGGACAACGGGAAATTATACCTGGGAGAGTCACCTTCAGCAGGCGCGTGAGTTTACTTTGGAGAAGGCGATTAAAACACAGACAAATGATCTAACTCCTAATCTATTAATATACCCTTTACACTTCAGACTAGCATCTTTTGGGGCTTGTTTGAACTAGACGATTGTGAACTGCCTTCCCTAGCAAGATCCTACTTTCAACTCAGACACGCAACTCTCCCAAATATCAATAATCTGAGGTGCTGTGTAAAATTAAAACAGTAAAACTATGGTGGGAGGCTTTATATTGAAAGGTCGACAGACTAATTTCCCAGTTAAAAAAATACCGAGGGCAAAACTCAGCAAGTCCACATTGGGAATTCTATTAGAATTAAGGAAAACCAGCTTGACAACAATTTTAAACTAAAATGGATTTTGAAATTACACTGGAGTGAGCAGCACTTTTTCGGCCCTAAAGCTTAAACAGTGTCAGGCTCCATTCATTTTCTGATAATGGTCCAATTCAGTTATAAATAATGCATCCACATAGTATCAAAAGTGCTGGCGTTGTACCTGAAAAGATGAAATGGGCAAGTAAAATGATGTGTTATCACAACCATGACCCACAGAAATAGGAAAAGTAGCTCTAGGTCACAAAACATTCAACCAAAAGTCGTGAGACAAATGTATAATTCTCCAGCATCTGCAGTTCCTACTATCTCTGATTCGATTTTAACCCCACTGCGAAGCTTCTTCTAAGGATGCCAGCCTCTCTGCTCCTATGATGCTGCTTGGCCTGCTGTGTTCATCCAGCCTTGCACCTTGTTGTCTCGGATTCTCCAGCATCTATCTCTATATCTATAGTTCCTACTATCTCTATTTAATGTCTCACTGTGTTAGTTGGCACAAAACCTCAAATCCATACATGTGGCTTGAGCCTTGCAATCGGCAAATACCATTTTTGTATTATGCCCTTACGACGGCTGGTTTGCAATACAGAGTGACACCAGTTGTGCAGGTTCAATACATTGGCCGACGTGACCATGAAGGTCCCTACCTTCTCAACCTCACCCTGTGCCTGAGGCATGGTGACTCTCAGATTAAACCACCATCAGACACCTCTGTCTAACGACAGCACAAACCTACTGGGACGGCGGTGACTTCATATTTACATCCTTTCATCGGTCTGATTGCCGACGTACAGAATCTAATACAAGGGTTCAAATCCTACAAGAAGCTCAACACAATGCACAGTATGTCTCAAGATTCAAAGCCACCTCAAAAAAAAAGTTATTCACCATTTCAAAAGCTTCAAACAGTCAGACTGAACAGCCAGTACTGTTGAGAAATGTTTGCAAATGCAATGCTAATCTCCTTTCTTGCAGGCAAAACTAGGAATTCAGGAACAGGACTAAGCCATTCGGTCCCTTCGGGCCAGCCACACCAATAAGCTCCTGGCTGATCAGTCATGGCCTCAACTCTACTTTCCTGCCGCAAACTCTCCTACTTAAAAATCAGACTCCTTCATTCATAAAAGGAGCTATTTACATCTGCCTTAAAAATATTCAATGACCTTACCTCCACCACTCTTAGTCATAAAGTCATACAGCACGGAAACAGACTCTTCAGTCCAACCAATCCATACCAACCATGTTCCCAAACTAAACCAATCCCACTTGTCTGTGCTTGACCCATATCCCTCCAAACCACTTCCACCATTGCCCTGCATTCTTCTCTACTTCCAAATATTTATCCAATTCTCTTCTGAAGGCCATTGAAAAAGGTGGTGATCACAGATTCAAAGTCATCCCAAACAATAAAGTTGGGAACACGTGGCTTGTATTAAACCCAAATGATTAAGAATGAGAGACAGGTCGAGATTCCCATTAGCTCAGATGCCAGCAATGTAACAAAAAGCAACTAAGTGGCATCATCCCAAGGATAGTTGGCACAAAAGGAGGTGTCGGCCAATGTGTTAAATTGCCAGCTAGTGCAAAGAGTGAAATTTCACTGCAGGGAGATGGACAACGTCCTGATTGTGGTTCACTATGTATAAAGAAGGGAACCGGGGTGTTGGATGATAACTGTCCCAATGTCCTGGAACTTTTTTTTTAAAATTGCTTTTGGTAGGTCTGAGAGGAATTTGATAGAAGCCCTCCCACCAGCAGTACTCTGCAAAGGAAGACCATATGACTGGCCAGATCAGGGGTGGGGGTGGGGCTCAGTGTGTACAAGTAACACCTCAACAGCATGGGTCATGCTTTGGTGTAGGTGAGCAATTGATACTTCACTACATGCAAATATAGAACCTCGTGCAAGATTTCCAATACATTACTTCCAGTAGTAATACTGAAACAGTGACAGGATCCCTCAAGAACAAAAACACCATAAACACTGCAAGTACGCGAGTGAGCAATAACCATAGAGTTTGTAGCACTGAATACTATTTACCTTTGAGTGAGTTTGAAATTCTCAGATCTACAAAGCTCAGGAATTAAAAATGTAAGACAATGGCAACTAATCACAAATAGACTGCAGACACTGTTTTCTGTGTCAACAATCTTTGTTGACACACATCAAGTACTCAGTACTTTAAAGTGACTGCAATTCTACACAACTATAACCCTGCTTTTGGGTTGTTGGGATGTAGGTTGGGGCAACCCGAGAACAGATGGACAAGGATGACAAATGGAGCTGTAGCATTACACATCCTATCCCATCCCCCCACAAAGACAGATCCATTTCCACTTAAACTGTAATAGATGCCTTGGAAGTTTGCAAAGTGTTTGGAAAGCTCTCTCAAAATGACCCGTGCAACTGTACATTTGAATAGAGTGCATGTTTACCTACTGAGGCATAGGATTACTTGTAATATTGAAGAGCTATATGGGGTGGGGAGGAGGGATTATTAATCAGTAAGCTATTAAATCGAGAAACTCAGCTAAAAATGTTCAGTGGACCCGGGCCCAAATCCCACCACTGATTGTGGAATTTTAATACAATAAAAATATCTGGAATTAAGAATCTACTAAAGACCATGAAACCATTGTTGATTGTTGGGAAAACCCATCTAGCTCACTAGTGTCCTTTCAGGAAGAAAATTACCATCCTTACCTGGTCTGGCATACATGTGACTACCGTCCCACAGCAATGTGGTTGACTTTCAACTGGCCTCAGATGCCCTAGCAATCCACTCAATTGCTACAAAGTCAAAGACCTACAGCACATGGACAGCAGTGGTTCAAAGCAACAATAAAAATTGGCCAACCAGCAACCCCACTATCCGATGATTGAAGAAAAGAACAGAATGAAGCCCTGATGTTAGCTGCAAACATCAAGATCTGAAGAAGACATACTGGGCGAACATTTATAAAAAAAAAAATCTTGTATACTGATCCACATTATTGTAGCAGCATCTAACTGACAGGGTAGCTTTAGATTGCCAAGTCATTCACAGAACGTTCGAAGGAACAGATCAGATTTGTGTTTCAAACTGCAAAGTTGTCATTCATACTACTGACTGAATTATTCTGGGTGGGTCCT